CAGGCGGACGCGGTTATCTGTTGGCCCGGGGGGGGGGGCTTCGAAGCAGCCCCACCCTTTTAACCGGGGGCTTAACCGGGAACGTGTGCATCTGCGCCACAGCAGACGAGCGCGCGTTTCCTGGGCTGCCGAACCGGGGAATTGGGGCCGCCCCACCTCCACCCAGGGGACCTTCCTGGCCCAGGAAGGAGGGGGAAACAAGCCCCAGGAGCCCGCCCCTCCCCTGGCCTGGGAGAGAACAGCAAAGCTGGAGCCGCGCAGCCGCTGACGAAGCCGAAATCGCGCGGCTGGGTCGGGGCCCGCCAAGAGCAACGCAGCACCTCGGGGCGGGAGAAGAGAAGCAAAGAGCTTCTCGGGGCTGGGGGGAACTTCAGCGGCTGTGCGGAAGAGCGGGGCCTGCCTGGGGCTCCCGGCTGGAAAGACGTGCGACTCAAGGGGATCCCCAAGCGGGGAACAGCCGTCACCGACCAGCCGAGCGCCTCTTCCCCGCACAGGCCCAAGAAGCCGACCTCTTAGCAAAACTGGATGCAAAGAGGCAGCCCCACCTTTTCAGAGCGGGGCCATGGCTCGGGGTACAGGACTTTGCCCATTCAAGGAGCTGAAGAATAAAAATTGGGGGGGGGGAGATAGGCAGGGGAATCCCAAACCATTTTATGAAGAGTGAGGATGCTGGTGGTCTCAGAAAGTTGACCACTGAAGAGGGCAGGGAGAGGAACAGAGGAATGGGGGGGGAATGGAGCATCTTAAAAAAGGCCATTGAAAAGGCTGGAAGCCTACCACTCTTTGCAGCAACATTTTGTTGCAGCTGCCACCTATTCTAGCAGCAAAGAGAGCAGCCTAAAAGCATTCAGTATTGCCCCTAAATGGCAGACTGGCATGTGTGCCCAAGCTTACATTTGAATCCATGCCCAAAGTAGAAAAATGTCATTTATTATTGAGGTGAGAAACCTGAGGCCTTTCTTGCAGCCCCAGCAGGACTCTCCACACGTACAGCCGAACTTAGATTTCTTGCCAGTTTTATGGCTGTAAACACACACAAACAACAATGTACTCCTAAAACAGGCTTGATAGTTTAATCCCCCTTCCCCCCCACAAAAAAGCATAAGATGCACACACACCCTTGCATCATCTGTGCCTCCACGGGGGAAGAAATGCTACCAGCTGGATAATTATAATTAAGAGAGGGTGAGGCTAGCTGTCACAGGAGCTGGATCTTAAGCAGCCAGCCGACTAAGAGCCCTGGATTGACTGCAAGGGGCTCTTCTGGTGGTCTTTCTTGATGCACAACTCTTGTCCTGCCTGCAGTGCGGGCCACCTCTTGCCTGGCAGGCGATTCGAACAAGGCAGAGAAGCGGCCGCGCCCTCCCCGGCCCAGCGCCGTCACTTCAAAAGCCGCCGAGCGCGCCGCTGGAAGAGAGGAGCCACACTCCGCCCCGGACCGGGTGGGGACAGGCGAGGGCCTGCGTGCAAACACCGGCCGTATCGACCCGCGGCCGTCGCCTGCAGCCAGCAGGGGGGCGCAGAGGTCTCGAGCCAAGCGCTAATGTTAAACACATTTTAGATCCTCTCTCTCGGAAGGCACAGTCGCTGCCCTCGTTCCAGGGGAAAACGCGCTGCCAGATGGTGCCTCTGGCAGAGGAGAGGAGTCAGAACAGACACCATTAAGGAAAGAGGTTTGAGAGTGCTGCTCTCCTCGGGCGACTTGTAAAACGTCCAATTTCCAACCCCCCCACTCTGGAATGCGATACCGACATCCCACACAGACGGCCCCACCGTTCCCATCCTCCTCCAGGCAGAACTGGGGCGGGGAGGGAGAACAGAGAGACCGAGCCACCTGGACAGCCCCTTCCCACCCTTTCCTGCCCTGGCTTCGTTCTGTGTTTTTTTAAGGGGGGGAGTTTATTTAGTTCAATACGCACTGAAGAGCTAAGAAGTTCCCACTTTACAAAGGAAAGATCTGAAACCATGCCAATAATCAAGGAACAAGGGAAGACACACTTCCTGGGGCAGCTTTTCTACACTCTGCCGCCCCCCCCCCAAATCGGTCAAGCTCTGCAGCAGGTGAGGCCCAGCTGGTGGGCCGCACCTGGCCAAAGCTTAGCTGATCTCAAAATCTATGCAGGATCCGGCCTGACTGGTGTTTGGACGAGACACCACCAGGAAATCCCCAGCCTAAAACGGGATGGAAAAGACGAAACAGTTGACAGTCAACAGCAAACCATTTTCCACATGGCGGCCCAGAAGACGTGACACGAACGTGGCCACGAATTCGCCCCCAGTGAAAACTGGCTCGTCGGAGGCTGTCTTTGTGAGGCGAGCCAGGGCTTTTGCTTCCGTTAGGTAGCACGGGAGCCCAAAGCCCAAAGCCTTTTTCTCCTCATTTAAAGGACGCCGACGTAGCCCGGGGAGGCGAGGGCGAGAAAGGAGCCCCCCACAAGGAAGCCCCCAAGGACGCGGCAGAACGAGACTCTGCTGGGACAGAGCCTGGGGGGGAAACGGGAGTGAAAGGATGGGGCAGAAAAAGAGGGATTCCCCCTGGAACTGTGAAAGAGAAGGGAGAAGTGGGCCACGCGCTCCAGAAACAAGGCCACGCTAACCGGCCAGCCACACCGTGGAGGAAAAGCTGACCAAGAGCCCCCCACTGGCTGCCCATCAGTGAAGGTCAGGGAGCGCCAATGATTCATCCCTCCTTGTGCGGGAAACAGCAGCTTCTCCCTCCAGGGTTGAAACGCTCCAGGCGTTTGGCTCTGATGCGCCTCTCTCTCATCCATCTCCAGCATCTGGCCCCCAAGGGGTAGGCTACTCTTGGAGAGGGAGGCTCCATCAGGGCTAACAATCTTGCCTCTGTGGACGCTGTCCAGCGGCTGTCACCAAATCTCCTGGAGCGAGCGCCCACAGGTGACTTCGATGGTAGCGTTATTGTCATGAATGTTAACATGTCCTTGAGTTCATGCCCCGAGTCAAGAGGTCTATCTGCCTTCCTTGCTTCAGCGCAAGAGAAAAAGCTGCCTTAAAAATCAGTGGATTTAACCTCCACCAGAGGCCACTCTGGCCTCCAAAGTGCTGCTGGCTGATTCTGTGGGATCTCCTGGTAGTCTCCCATCCAAGTCCTGACCAGGCCCGATTCCACTTAGCCTTTCCGTCTCAAAAGCCGGATCCAAGAAATCGTGATGGCCCCCAAAGGACAGGGAGGGGGGCCACAACCCCCCTCCTGGGGAATTAAAAAGTTAACGCCGCCCTTTCTCCAAGGAGAATTCTGAATTCGCCTTTAAGCAGAAATCTGCGGAGGAGACGAAGGGGGAAGGCAGATCAGGAAAAGGATGGCACGGATGGTGCCAAGGCAGCAGCGTGGCTGCTTCCAAGAACATCCAGCCCAGCGCAGTCACTGCTAGAAGGCGTGAACCCGACCCAAACAAGCTGAATGTACATTTCCACGGCCTTGTGCAGATCAGCAAAATGCCGTCTGTAGCTGGAAGCAGCAGAAATGGTAGCAGCGGGGGGGGGGGGGGG